GAGAACTTCCAGAAAATTTAGAAGATTTAGTGTCTTTTATTTCCAGAATAGATGAACGCATGAGACAGAGGCAGAATACTCGAGAAAGAGCTTATAGACCTCCTGTGAGACTCGCTCCTTCCTTTCAGAACCCTGACTCCTACAATTCCACTCCACCAGAACCTATGCAGATATGTAATACTCGTTTATCTGAGGCCGAGAGACAGTACAGAAGAAGGGAGGGTCTCTGTTTATACTGCGGGCAGAGAGGCCATTTACGTCTTAATTGCCCTAATCGCCCGGGAAACGCTCGCACCTAAGTTCCCCTAGAGGACGGGCCTTGGGTGTTTCTATATTGTCCTCTATGTATAATGATAAAGACCATAGGCTTCTGATTCCTGTCTCTTTAGCTTGGAAAAGTGGCACTATATCTACGATGGCGTTGTTAGATTCTGGAGCAGCAGAAAGTTTTATAGACCAAGCTTTCGCTAATAAGCATTGTCTCCCATTCCAACTGAGAGATACACCCTTGGCCGTTGAGGCCATAGATGGTAGACCTTTGTCTGAACCAGTAATATTCCATGAGACTAAACCTGTTAAACTTACTATTGGTATTCTCCACGAGGAGATGATGTCCCTCCTGTTAATATCCTCCCCGGCTGCCCCAGTGGTGCTAGGATATTCTTGGCTCAAGAGACATAACCCCCAGATTGACTGGGAATGTGGAGAAATCGTTTCTTGGGGAACTGGTTGTAGGGAGAAATGTTTGCGAAGAGTCACTTCTGTTTGCCCAGTAAACTCATCTACCAACTCTTCTCAATCCACAGACTTTCAGATACATCTCAGTATATAGATCTCAAGTCTGTATTTGACAAGAGTAAGGCTGATACTTTACCTCCCCACCGATCTTATGACTGTACTATTAAACTTTTGCCTGGTACTATGCCCCCTAGGGGTACGGTGTACCCTCTATCTACCAAAGAAAATTTAGTTTTAGAGGAATACATCAAGGAAAATCTAGACAAAGGATTTATTAGAAAGTCTTCATCTCCGGCGGGGGCGGGGTTTTTTTTGTAGAAAAGAAAGACGGTACCTTACGTCCTTGCATAGACTATCGGGGATTGAACAAAATTACCATCAGGAATGCTTACCCCATTCCTTTGATTACTGAACTCTTTGACAGACTAAAGGGCTCCAGTATTTTTATCAAACTTGACCTGAGAGGAGCATATAACTTGGTGAGAATTAAACAAGGTGATGAATGGATGACAGCATTCAATACCCGTTACGGACATTATGAGTATACCGTAATGCCGTTTGGGCTATGCAACGCCCCGGCCGTCTTCCAAGACTTGATTAATGAGGTCCTTAGAGAATTTCAACACGAATGCGTGATAGTATATTTGGATGATATACTAATACATTCTAGGGACATTGACTCACATCACAGACAAGTCAGAAAGGTGTTACAAAAACTTTTACAACATGGATTGTATTGTAAATTGGAGAAGTGTAGCTTTGATCAGTCTCAGGTAACTTTCTTAGGCTACGTAATTTCCAAGGACGGGTTTATGATGGACCCGATCAAACTAAAATCAATTTTAGATTGGCCTTTACCCAAGGGACTCAAAGCCATTCAAAGATTTATTGGATTTTCGAATTATTACAGACGTTTCATAAAAGGGTACTCCTCTGTTATCGCTCCTATCACTAATATGACTAAACAAGGAGCCGATACCAAAACATGGTCTACTGAGGCTTTATCTGCTTTCAAAACGCTCAAACAGACTTTCGCTTCAGCACCTGTATTAGTTCATCCTGATACCTCTCTGCCCTTTTTGCTTGAAGTTGATGCGTCTGAAACAGGGATAGGCGCTGTATTGTCCCAAAGACAAAGTTTAGATAAGCCTTTACACCCTTGCGGTTTTTTTTCCAAGAAATTATCACACACTGAAAGGAGATACGATATTGGTGACAGAGAACTCTTAGCTATTATTATGGCATTAAAAGAATGGAGACATCTGTTAGAGGGCACTGTTCTCCCGGTTACCATCTTGACTGATCACAAAAATTTATCTTACATTGGGGAGGCCAAAAGATTATCCGCCAGGCAAGCACGTTGGTCTATGTTCCTTACACATTTCAATTACATACTTACTTACAGGCCTGGTTCTAAAAACACCAAAGCAGATGCATTATCTCGTCAGCACGAACCTATTACCACATTAGAAGACACATTGTGTCCTATTGTTCCTGAACATAACATTATCGCCAACACCAATGTCAAAATACACTCTCCATTGCTCGCAGATATAATTAACGAACAATCTCTTGCTCCCGAACGTACTCCTGTGGGCCGCTTCTTCGTGTCTCCCAAATTCCAATTGGACATAATTCGATGCTTTCACGATAGCAAGTTTGCCGGTCACCCCGGCATCCACAAAACTTGCTGTCTGATTTCCAAGGACTTCTGGTGGCCTAGTTTACGGAGGGATGTGGAAGACTTTGTCAAGGCCTGCGATATCTGTGTTAGGAATAAACTACCACAGGCCCTTCCTTGTGGTCTGTTGCAGCCCTTAGTCGTTCCCAACAAACCTTGGGCTAGTCTGGCTATGGATTTTATTGTTGATTTGCCGGTTTCCAATAGACACACTGTTATCCTCACGGTTGTTGACAGGTTTACCAAAATGGCTCATTTCATCCCCTTGCCTAAACTTCCTTCCTCACCCGAATTGGCCGTAATATTTGCTAAGGAGATTTTTCGCTTACATGGGATTCCCAATGAGATTGTGTGTGACAGGGGGTCCCAGTTCATTTCCCGTTTTTGGAGATCCTTCTGTTCCCAGTTGGGCATCAAGCTGAATTTTTCTTCGGCCTATCATCCTCAATCTAACGGGGCAGCCGAACGCACTAACCAGAAAATTGAGCAATATCTACGTTGTTTTGTTTCTGAACACCAGGACGATTGGGTCGGTCTGATTCCTTGGGCGGAGTTTGCTCACAACAACCTTGTTTGTGGTTCCACTCGTAATAGCCCCTTTTTCTTGAATTATGGCTTTAACCCTACTATTCTTCCGTCGGTGTCACCCTCTCATGGTTTACCGTCGGTTGATGTTCATATAGCCAACCTGAGAAAGTTGTGGGATCAGACTCGACGAATACTTATTCGTAGTTCCGCGGTGTTTAAGATGCATGCTGATAGGCGTAGACGGTCTGCTCCTGTCTTTTCCCCGGGTGATAGGGTCTGGTTGAGTACCAGACACATTCGCTTGAAAGTCCCTTCCATGAAGTTTGCTCCTCGTTACATAGGTCCTTACAGGGTGTTGAGGAGGATCAACCCGGTTTCTTATTTGCTGGACCTGCCTCCTACTCTACGTATCCCTAACTCTTTTCATGTGTCTTTATTGAAACCTCTTGTTTGTAACAGGTTTTCTTCCCATCCTGCTCCTCCATCTTCGGTTCGAGTTGGTGGTCAAGAAGAATATATTGTTAAGTCCATTCTTGATTCTCGTATTTCCAGGGGGAAGTTACAATACCTCATAGACTGGAAGGGTTATGGCCCAGAAGAGAGATCTTGGGTTCCTTGTGAAGACGTGCATGCTCCTCGTCTTCTTCGAGCCTTCCACGTTCGGTTTCCTTCTAAGCCCGGTCCCATCTGCCCGGTGGGCGTTTCTAAAAGGGGGGGTACTGTCAGGTTACCTGTAAATTATGTCTCTGAGGAGGTCAGTCTCTCTCCATAGGGGCTCCCCTCCCCTAGCATTTCGGCATTTTCCGGCCGTTTTCCCGCCGGCCGCGCTAGCTTCTCCCCCTTTTATGACGCGACGGCTAGCGTCGACGTCATGACGTCATCATTACGTGAAGCGCCGGGAACCGCAATTCCGGACCTTTTTGGGGGCGTGGTCTCAATTAAGGTGACAGGGTATTTTAGGGAAACTTTTACTACTGCTCATTGCCCTGTCGTGGTTCTAGCTTGCTAGTCACTCAGTGCGTTCTCTCTCTTTGTGTTTTCGGTTTTGACCTTGCTTGTACCTTGTCCTGCTGCTCTCTCCTCTCATTTGACTCGGCTTGTCCCTCGCTTACCTGTCCTCCGGCTCCCTCGACCTCGGCTTACCTTTTGACCATTCTTGTTTTGTCTATACGTTAGTCCGGCCATTCTAAGGTCCGGTATACGTACCTCCTTCTGTCCGCACTCTGCGTATTGGATCCCTGTCTCGATCCTGACACTCAATAGGAGGGCCTACATATGACTCCGAACTGCACAACATTTCCAGTACTGCTTGTATACCAAGATTGTGGGGTATGACCGTATATAAACTTTGCACATCAAGTGTGACAAGGAGAATGTCCCTGTGTTTTGGTACGTGTAACTGTTGAATATGTTCTAAAAATTCAGGTGTATCTTTCAAGCAAGTTGGAAGTTCTTTCACCAGATCCTTGATGTAATAATCTACATATTGTGCAACTGGTTCAATAATACCCTCATTCGCAGACACAATGGGTCTGCCCGGTGGATTTGTGGAATCTTTGTGCAACTTCGGGAGTGTATATAGCACAGGGTGCCTAGGGAACGATACATGGAGATACGCTGCTGTCCTCTGATCCAGATAACCTGCATGTAATCCAAAGTTTATATGTTCCTCAATAATTTTTTAAAATTTATGTATAGGATCAAATGTTAATCTGCGATATGTTGTTGTATCATCAAGCTGGCAGAGAATCTCCAATTTATATTTTGCATATGCCTGAATGACTATTGCACCGCCTTTGTCCGCTGGCCTGATAATTATTAATGCTGATTTTTCTACTTTTGTTAAATTGTATCTATGTTTAGGTGGTCTCCGAGCTACTTGTGATATATCTTTATGGACTGCTTGAGTGAATGATTTAATGGAGCTATTGGTGCTATATATCTCATTTTTGCTCCTTGATGTAAATGGATGATCATGCGTCTTTTTAAATGTGTCTTTCCAGATTTCATTCAAACATAAAATTCTCTGAAGCTTATACATTTCTATTTCGACCTGGAACGGGTCTGGTTTGCAGACCGGAATAAATGTAAGTCCCTTATTGAGGACTGATAAATGGTGTAGATTCAACTCTTTATTGGACAAATTATATACAGGCGTCATCGCTTCTTTATAGGAGGTTTGGCGTTGTAACATATTTCTTCTGGTTCTTCTGCCCTCTTCGTATGGGCTGGTTCCTTTTGCGCCTTGAGTGCGTGTTACTGATCCCCCAGGTGGATCGTTGGTATGTGCGCCTCTGTCTAAAAAAGATACTGTTTTGGATGTGTCTGATGCATCTTTACTTTCTACATCAGATGCTGACTCCCCTGAGCTCGTGTCTATCGTTTGAAAAGAAGGTTTGCGTATACGTGGTTTAAATCTCGAATATGTATATCTAGTAGGTTCAGAACCACTAAGCCACCGATACACTGATGGTATTTAGAATCGTGATTGACCTTTTCTAATTTGTGTTGCTTGAAGCGAATAAGGTCATTCTGATAGCGTTGTATGTCATCTTGTAATTTGAGGATTAGTTCATTAGATGACGGTGCTTGAAGTACAGATACGTGAGCTAATTCAAAGGTTTGTATAGATTGTTTAACCACAGCTAATTCCTTGCCCACTTCTTCAACCACAATTGCCATCCAGTCTAATGAACATTTATTGGCGATATTCATCCATCGCTTACAAAAATCAGGATTTTGTCGTCCAATGGTGGGGGCATTCCTAACACGAAAGCCTCTAGGAATACGTTTGGCTCTGTAGTAGTCTGAGATGAATACACCATGCAGATCCAAATCGATCTCACATCTCTTAAGTTTCATCAAATCATTATACAATTCTTTAGCGGAAATAGAATGACTAAGATTCTGAGAAGTACGTGGCCACAAAATGGAGGATGCATGTTCCTCTGTGATGGAGAGAGTTTCTGCAGACTCTTCTAATGCTCCTGCTTTAAGCAAAAAATCTACATCAAGTGCTGTACGCCGCAATGACGTCATCACGTGGTGACGTATCACGGAAGAGAAAACGTGGTAACTAGGCGACCAGACGATGCCGTGCCGAAAGTGAAAGAAAGTGAAAAGACAGCATCCCGAGAACGGGATTTTTACAAGAACGGACACATAAGTGTCTAGATGGAGGAAATCAAACTATGTATCTAACTGAGAAGAAAAAGAAAATCAGCATATGCATATAATTAGAAAAATGGAACAATAAAAAAAATTAAAATTCAAAGATCAAATGGATTAATCAAGTAAAATAAAATGAAATGAACATAAAATAGGAATCAAACAAAAAATTATAAATAATAAAGAATAATAAAAAAATGAAAATATTAAAAATGAAAATATAAATGAAAATAAAAATAAAACTATAAATATAATGTATACACAATCTGTGTAATTAGTAATATAGTAATGTATACAAGTATGTATATAGATAACACCAAGACAAACCATCCATGTATCTTTATAAAAAAACAGAAAATTTGGATCGTTGAATTTAAATTTTTTTATTGTTCCATTTTTCTAATTATATGTATATGCTGATTTTCTTTTTCTTCTCAATTAGATACATAGTTTGATTTCCTCCATCTAGACACTTATGTGTCCATTCTTGTAAAAATCCCGTTCTCGGGATGCTGTCTTTTCACTTTCTTTCACTTTCGGCACGGCGTCGTCTGGTGACCTAGTTACCACGTTTTCTCTTCCGTGATGTTTGGTAAGTTATTTGATTAAATGATATATGTATATATTGTCACTGTTTTATGTGTGCTGTGATCTTGAAAAAGACCCTTAGAGGTCGAAACGTCGATTTGTTCACGGATATAATGAAGATTTTTTCACCTTAAATAATTTGATTGTCGTTCTTGTCTAAGACCTGTGAGTGCACCCCTGTCTGTATATATATATATATATATATATATATATATACATACACATATACATAAATACACATATATACACATACACTGTCTAAGTGTTTTTTAATATTAATATATATAATTATATATATATATATTATCAAAATACACATAGAATGATATTGAATAAATATATATATAATTATAATTATATATATTTATATATAATATAAAATACATATATATGTAAATACGTTAAAAAATAAAACAAAAAATAATAAAAAACAAATAAATAAATAAATATATATATGTGTAATTTCGTTCTAATTGTATTTTAAAATTAATATATATATATATATATATATATATATTGATATCAAAATACACATAGAACAAAATAATATATAAATATATATATATATATATATATATATATATGCATATCTATCACTATATATATATATATATATATATACCTATACATATAAATAAAAATAATTAAAAACACACACACACACACACACATATATATATATATATATATATATATATATATATATATATATATATATATAATTCTACGTATATATTTATATAATAATTTTACATAATTACGTCATTGTATTAATTACAATTTGCGGGACCTCCCTGACAACCCAGACCGAAAGTATAGGGAATTTAATTTGCTGGTACTATAGTTAACCCTATAACTTTCCAAAACACCATAAAACCTGTACATGGGGGGTACTATTTTACTTGGGAGAATTCACTGAACACAAATATTAGTGTTTCAAAAAAGTTAAATGTATTACAATGATGATATCGTCAGTGAAATTGACGTTTTTGCATTTTTCACACTGACAATATTATTGCTGTGATACTTTTTACTGTTTTGAAACACAAATATTTCAGCAAAGTCTCCCGAGTATAACAGGTTTTATGATGTTTTCAAAACTTATAGAGTCAAATATAAGGCTTGCATTTCAGTTTTTTCACATTGAAATTTGCCAGATTGGTTACGTTGCCTTTGAGACCGTATGGTAGCCCTGGAATGAAAATTACCCTCATGATGGTATACCATTTGCAATAGTAGACAACCCAAGTATTGTAAATGGGGTATGTCCAGTCTTTTTTAGTAGCCACTTAGTCACAAACACTGGCCAAAATTGGCGTTCAAATTAGTTTTTTGCATTTTTCACACACAAACAAATATTAACGTAACTTTGGCCAGTGTTTCTGACTAAGTGGCTACTAACAAAGACTGGACATACCCCATTTGCAATACCTTGGGTTGTCTACTATTGCAAATGGTATGCCATCATGGGGGTAATTCTCATTCAATTCTTCAATGTGAAAAAAATGAAAAATATAACATGCTATATTTTACCCTGTAACTTCCCAAAACACCATAAAACCGAATACAAATATGTGTATCTGCAGTAAAACCAAATAGTATTATGACATTCACAGTTAGAATGTCACGTAGAACTAAAATAAATTTAAATTCTTATTTTCTCCCATTTTTTTTCAAATTAAATTATATTTCATACCTAAATATTTTATGTTAAAGGAAAGCCCTCTTTCCCGTGAATAAAATTATATGTAATAAGTGTGGGTGCACATAATATGAAAGAGGCAAATTATGCCTGAACAGACATGTAGCGCAAATTCAGTTTTTTGGTTACATTTTGTTTTGATCACAATGTGTACACTTGGCTCAGTCCTTAAGGGGTTAAGGAAGACCTTATCTTAACTTTCTTTATGTCACTAATTTGAAGTGATGAATGGAATCAAGTGGATGTATCTTTCTCTACTGATTGTCATCTAGACTTTGATCAATTTTGTATAAAAAGGGGCATAAATTCTCAAGATGAAAATATAATGTTGCCTCTATAAATCGTTGGTAAGACCACACATTGAATACGCTGTGCAATTTTGGGAACCTGTTCTTAAAAAGGATATCATAGCACTAGAAAAAGTGCAGAGACGAGCTACAAAATTGATAAAAGGAATGGATCATTTTAGTTATGAAGAAAGGTAAAAACAATTAAATCTCTTTAGTTTGGAAAACAGTGCCTCAGAGGGAATATGATAACATTATACAAATATATTCGTGGGCTAGTACAAACCATTATCTGGAAATCTATTCATAAATAGGGCTATAAATAGGACATGAGGTCATGCATTTAAGCTGGAAGAAAGGAGATTTAATCTAAGGGAAAGAAAATGTTTTTTTTACAGTAAGAACTATAAGGATATGGAATTCTCTGCCTGAAGAGGTGGTTTTATCAGAGTCTGTACAGATGTTTAAACAGCAATTGGATAAATGCTTCAAAACACAAGTTGCAGGGATATGTCTTATTAGTGGGGTAATAGCTGCTTGATCCAAGGAGATATCTGATTGCCATTTTGGGGTCAAGAAGGAATTTTTTTCCTAGTTTGTAGCAAAACTGGAAGCGCTTCAGACTGGGATTTTTGCCTTCTTTTGGATAAACAGCAAAGGCATATGTGAGGAAGGCTGAACCTGATGGACGCAAATCTCTTTTCAGCTACGTAACTATGTAATAGATGGCGTTGTAACACCACAAGAAAGTGTTATAAAAAATTCCAACTACCACTTTGTATAAGGGGTTAATTGAATTTCGTGATGAATTTGACTCACAAATCTTATCTTTTATGGGTATCCTTCATTAAATAACCGTCAGTCTTCAAAGGGATTTTTTTCCTTTTTCATCAAACTGGCATTCTCCTCTTTGGGCCATAAAGTATAACTTTGATGCATCTGGCCTTTGTTTCAACTTTCTCTTACAATGGATTTGTGGCAAACATAGCCACTTGGACAATATCAAGAGACTGTATGTCGGTGGGGATATGTGTTTAACTATGTGTAATGTATGCTGGCTGTAATGACGTGTAATTACTGTATTGGCTATCTGCCGAATGCAGATAGCTGTATGTGCTGTATTTTCTTTCGTTACACGAACGGCACTTTTGCGGGCCGTTCATGAACCGAAATAACCACCATGTAGTAGCCCACACACTTAGAGGCGTGTGGCGCTTGTTAACCGATTGCAACAATGTTGCAATCGGTAATTAGAGGCTCTCCTAGGTGGCCGCCGTTCGACTACCGACCATGCGGCGGTCGGCCATCTTGGATCCTTTGTTCCCTCAGTGGTGTTTGGTCGTCGAGCGCATGGTACTAAAAACGGCTACTCGACGGCGCGAACACCGCTGAGCTTCCAGGCCGTTCGGGAGTTCCAGGCTGTTCGGTATTATGTTCACTAGACTTCAATTGGTCTTTTGAATATACATTTTAATGAAGGTGTTTTTCGTGCGGCGTTCGGTTGTTTTAGCTGGGATCTGAGCGGTATTCTCACGAATGATGCGCTCAGACCCCAGCTATCTACCGAACGTCCATTCGTACAAATAGGCTGCATATTCGAAAAGTTATGTATTTTAATATAAATTGTCGGT